GGTGTTTATTTTCCTGTGAATGTTCAAGAAGCAGGGGTAAAGACCACATGGATCAAGATATAGGTCACAACAAGGCTCCAAAACCAACACAAGACTACATTGGATAGTCATATATGTTATTTTCAACAGTCTGACATGAACATGTGAAAAACCCTCATCTGCGTGTGAGGGACTTTTATTTTGAAGGAGAGATTTTTTTTCTTTTCTTATAAGTGTATTAGATACAGCAGAGTGATCAAAGTTTAGATGGGAAAGTTCAAATACAATCTTATTATATCATCATCCTCGCTTAACTCTGGAATGATTGTCCTTGCAGAGCAGAGTTCACCTGATGCATAGGAACACTTACAAGTATAAAATAAAATAAAATACAGTATCTGGTCAGTGTTATTAATCTCTTCCACAGTCTGGTCATTTTGAAAACGAAACATCTTGGTGTATGTGGGAAGGTTGCCAACTCGTGTTTTTTTAGAAGTTGTTTATGCTCACAGTAGTTTGGGAATACTGTGACACAAAGAGAAATGGCGAACACCAGTGGTCAAAAGTTGCAATTGCACTCACATACTATTGGGAACTACATTCTGCAATGAATATCTTTGCTTTAGCAAGCAGATATTACAACTATCTAGGTTGACTACAAACTGCGTCAACATGCTTTACGTTAAGATGCTGTGTCTACAGAGATTTAGGATAGGATAGTTATTTTAGAACTTCTACTTTAAGTTCAGCTTTGATTCATATAAAACCATTTATATACAAACTGATACAAAGAAAAAGCAAACTTAACATTACATTACCCTAGGAATAAGTGTGCACTTGTAGTTAATATACTCAACAGAAGGCATATGTCTTGTACATACACCCAACCCTGGCTTGGTTCTTCATACATATTTCCCAAGAGACAAATGATAACAAAATATGGAATGATCCATCACAAAGAAAAACAGAGAATAATTTGTTTACAGGCTTATAGAAGAATTGTGATAAGAAATATACAACATATGTGTGGCTAAGATACAAAAAACATATTAGTAGTTCTAATACTGTAATTGCATACATTCAATACAGTACATCAATGGTGAGATTTCATATGTTCTTAAATTTCCCCAAAACGATGCATTGCTATGATTCAAGTCATCACGATTCAAAGAACTAGCATCTATAGTAACCAGCGAAGGGAATCCTTTCCTCTTATAATAAATAATAATAATAATAATAGTAAGCATTTGCATGTTAAGGTTTTTAGCTTCAGTGGCACATGGTTATTCAATCAATCAATATTAGACTACAAAGAAGAAAAACTAGCATGTGCAAACAAGCACTTAAGTGTTAATTTGGCAATGTTTTCACTTTAAAGTGTTTTAAGTTGGTATGAACTTTGAAAAAAGATGGTCAGTCAGTCACAGAAAAACACAACCATTTCTGTTCATCTCCAACTGTGACCAAGTTAAAGGGTATCCAGTGTCAAACATCAACAAGCTTTCAGTTCAAGCCCACACTGATCACACTATTCAATCAAACTCGCTAACCAGATGATTGGGGCATTGTTGGAAAAAAACATTCTTCTTGCACTGAAAGAGAGCATGTTTGAAGCATTATTATTTTTGTTTCACACAGTAAACATTGTTTTTCATTACATTCTCGCATTGCAAGAAGAATGTTATCTTTATCTCAAAAGTAAACTCCAAAAAATGACATAATTCACAGCGGGGCGACATCCTGCTTACTGACAACAACAACAAGAAAATTAGAATCTGCCAAGGCTGTCCACTATTGGCTCTTTCGAATTTGCACCCTCCCACAATGCAATAGTCAATTTATTTAAGAAGGAAGTTGCCCCACTGTGTTTGATATACACAGAGTGGACAAAACATTAAGAACACACCTGCTCTTTCCATAACATATACTGACTAGGTGATTCTAGGTGAAATCTATGATCCCTTATTGATGTCACTTGTTAAATCCACTTCAATCAGTGTAGATGAAGGGGAGGAGACAGGTTAAAGAAGGATTTTTAAGCCTTGAGATAATTGAGACATAGATTGTGTATGGGTGCCATTCAGAGGGTGAATGGGCAACTCAAAAGATTAAGTGCCTTCGAACGGGGTATGGTATTAGGTGGCAGGCGCACCGGTTTGTGTCAAGAACTGCAACGCTGCTGGGTTTTTCACACTCAAAAGTTTATTGTGTGTATCAAGAATGGTCCACCACCCAAAGGACATCCAGGCAACTTGACAGAACTATGGGAAGCATTGGAGTCAACATGGGCCAGCATCCCTGTGGAAAGCTTTCGACACATTGTCGAGTCCATGCCCTGACGAATTGAGGCTGTTCTGAGGGCAAAAGGGGAGGGTGCAACTCAATATTATTGGAAGGGGTTCCTAATGTTTGGTAGACTCAGTGTACGTCATAATGCATAGTCTGCCTTTAACCCCAAAACCCAGTTAAAGAGTTTGATTGAATAAAGCTTACACTCTAAGCTCAACATGAGCTGAAGGCGACTGAACATACTTTAACATGCCACACAACACACACACAGTGGAAAGGAGAGTGCCGTGTCATACAAGAGGGTATTTCATGGACAATAGTTTAATGTCGAGGTTGCTTTTGTGAAGTTCATGATGCTCAACATGTTAGATGAGGTCATTAATACTGTGCAATTATCAAGTTTGATTATTAATAACAAAATACACATTTCCACATGCATTTATAAGTACCAAGTTAGCACTTTTCAATGTCAATACATTCCGGCCCCACTCCTAAACCACAGTCGTAAGACTTGTCTGGATTCTATTATTAAGTCTGATTTATGTCTGTTAACTTAAGTCTGGATAACCTCCATATCAAACAGCAACTTAATGAGGTCAAAGGGCTTCTGATCGTACATCAGCCATAACAGGAAAATAAACTGGCTTAGGGACGGGTTTTGCTTATGGACGGTTGCAACTCAGCATCTTTGAACAAAAATATACACATACATACAGTGCATACATACATACAAATCTATCTGTTTCAATTTACAATAAAGTAATTTTCTATTCATAATCATCTCTTAAATAAACTGTTTTATTTCCTTGCACTTTGTTAAAATAATGAATCTGATTTTCAAGGCAATAGTGTGATTTTAAAAAGGTGAAAAGATACTGTACCATTAGCCTGATTGAGAAGAATAGTACAAATAACAAGATCTGTAATATACATATCTTTAAAAGACCCTCCCCTACTCATACACATGAATGTATGTGTATATATACAGTGGGGGAAAAAAGTATTTAGTCAGCCACCAATTGTGCAAGTTCTCCCACTTAAAAAGATGAGAGAGGCCTGTAATTTTCATCATAGGTACACGTCAACTATGACAGACAAATTGAGAAAAACAAATCCAGAAAATCACATTGTAGGATTTTTAATGAATTTATTTGCAAATTATGGTGGAAAATAAGTATTTGGTCACCTACAAACAAGCAAGATTTCTGGCTCTCACAGACCTGTAACTTCTTCTTTAAGAGGCTCCTCTGTCCTCCACTCGTTACCTGTATTAATGGCACCTGTTTGAACTTGTTATCAGTATAAAAGACACCTGTCCACAACCTCAAACAGTCACACTCCAAACTCCACTATGGCCAAGACCAAAGAGCTGTCAAAGGACACCAGAAACAAAATTGTAGACCTGCACCAGGCTGGGAAGACTGAATCTGCAATAGGTAAGCAGCTTGGTTTGAAGAAATCAACTGTGGGAGCAATTATTAGGAAATGGAAGACATACAAGACCACTGATAATCTCCCTCGATCTGGGGCTCCACGCAAGATCTCACCCCGTGGGGTCAAAATGATCACAAGAACGGTGAGCAAAAATCCCAGAACCACACGGGGGGACCTAGTGAATGACCTGCAGAGAGCTGGGACCAAAGTAACAAAGCCTACCATCAGTAACACACTACGCCGCCAGGGACTCAAATCCTGCAGTGCCAGACGTGTCCCCCTGCTTAAGCCAGTACATGTCCAGGCCCGTCTGAAGTTTGCTAGAGTGCATTTGGATGATCCAGAAGAGGATTGGGAGAATGTCATATGGTCAGATGAAACTAAAATATAACTTTTTGGTAAAAACTCAACTCGTCGTGTTTGGAGGACAAAGAATGCTGAGTTGCATCCAAAGAACACCATACCTACTGTGAAGCATGGGGGTGGAAACATCATGCTTTGGGGCTGTTTTTCTGCAAAGGGACAGAGGACGACTGATCCGTGTAAAGGAAAGAATGAATGGGGCCATGTATCGTGAGATTTTGAGTGAAAACCTCCTTCCATCAGCAAGGGCATTGAAGATGAAACGTGGCTGGGTCTTTCAGCATGACAATGATCCCAAACACACCGCCCGGGCAACGAAGGAGTGGCTTCGTAAGAAGCATTTCAAGGTCCTGGAGTGGCCTAGCCAGTCTCCAGATCTCAACCCCATAGAAAATCTTTGGAGGGAGTTGAAAGTCTGTGTTGCCCAGCGACAGCCCCAAAACATCACTGCTCTAGAGGAGATCTGCATGGAGGAATGGGCCAAAATACCAGCAACAGTGTGTGAAAACCTTGTGAAGACTTACAGAAAACGTTTGACCTGTGTCATTGCCAACAAAGGGTATATAACAAAGTATTGAGAAACTTTTGTTATTGACCAAATACTTATTTTCCACCATAATTTGCAAATAAATTCATTAAAAATCCTACAATGTGATTTTCAGGATTTTTTTTTCTCATTTTGTCTGTCATAGTTGACGTGTACCTATGATGAAAATTACAGGCCTCTCTCATCTTTTTAAGTGGGAGAACATGCACAATTGGTGGCTGACTAAATACTTTTTTCCCCCCAATGTATATAAATATATGTAGCATGTATTTCAATATCACATATGCACACACAAACATCTACATGCTCATGCATGTTTGTGCGCCGGTATATGTCATATCTGTCTCCACACATACATATATACATACATATATATATATATATATATAATAAATAAATGCACAAAAACATTCTTGGTTCATGGTTCCATGGTTTCCTTCAAAGCGGTATTTGGTACAGTCTTTGACTAACCATTTTGTCTGCGTGCGTTTGAGTCCTTCGTTGTAGTAGTACTAGTAGTACTACAGTAGTACTTAAGTAGTACTAAAGTCCACTGCCAATCCCTGAACAAGAACAGACAGGAAAGTGTGTGTGTGTACTTTTGTGTAAGTGTTTGTGTGTGGACAGGGGAATGTGGGGGGCCAAAGTATTTGGCCTTATGAGTGGGGGGGGACATGCACACTATCCATCTTTCCGAGTTACCGGAATACCAGGTTACCGGGTATTTAAGCAGATGGATTGTCCGAGCATGGTCCAACCACACCCTAACAGGGTCTTCTAGAGGTGTGTGACGTGGGTGAGGGCCCAGAGTGCTACCCCTTTAGCCCCATTCCCCAAAGGGTGTTCCACCAGGGCTGGTGGAGGGTAGAGAGTAGAAGTTCAGGCTGGGGCTCAGTATACACATCTCCGTAGCCCCCTTCCCCTCAATTCCTCCAGGGTCTTCCATCCATAAGGGGGTGGTGGGTAGGGGTTAGAGGTCCTTGGATGTCGGAGGATTAGGCCCAGGCCCTGGCCCAGAGGGTACTAACACCATCACTCCTCACTCCTCTCACCCTCTCCCCAGACCCAGGGAGGGTGTCCCTCCTCCCTCCTCTCTCCCCGTCCCCACCACCCCAGTGTGGGCTAGATGGGTCCCTCATTGTGCGCATTGTGGTTGACCCTGTGGGCCAGACAGTTCTGGGGCTGTGTGTTGAGGTTGAGCAGGCTGGCCGTCTCGTGGGGGGCCATAGCTGGCGTCTCCAGCACGCCTCCCCCTCCACCATCGTGGAGCTCAGTGGTCAGAGTCAATTCGATCTTGGTGAACTCGCTGTCCATCGACTGGGGCGTCTTATCCATGCGCGACGCCATCAGGGCGTTCTGGTACTGCTGACGGGTCACCTGCGGGAGGATAATACAGTTACATGATATCAGGTTATATTATATTACAGTATATTAAATAGTATCCCTGGGCATCAGTTGAATTGGCAGATGTGGATATCTACATAATCATCTTGAATGATAGCATAGCTAAATTCCCAATAGAACATCCTTATCCGCCTTCTCCTGGTTTCAATCATGTCTCACCAACCGGACACATGATATCTCACTCAAGTCACACAGGGTGTGCCTCAGGGCTCCGTGGTAGGCCCCCTCTTCTTCATAATCTACATCCTCCCACTTGGACAGATCCTACACCAGCCAATTCAACCTCAACCTCCACTGTTATACAGACGACACCCAAATGTGTGTGTGTGTGTGTGTGTGTACAGTATGTGCGGGCACATGTGTGTGTAGACGTGCGTATAGACTCTCCTTCATATACTGCAGGTCCGACAGCCATAACAGAGTAGTCTGGTATGTATATCTGTAGTGTGTGTGTGTGTATAGTGTATGTGTGTGTAGTGTGTGTATGTGTGTATGTGTCCTGACTATCCTCTCACCTTGATGTACTGCAGGTCAGACACAGCCCTGACAGAGTAATCTGGCATGTAGATCTGTAGGAAGGCATTGAGCTGGTTGTTACTGCTCCCCAGCGTGGGTGTGATGGCATCGATGCGGTCACTCCGGTTCAGAGAGTCCGAGTGGTTCAGGCCAAACGGCCGCGGGGGGGACTTGTTCTCTGCACAGACACAGAATAGTGAAGAATATAAGTTTAGGCTTCTGTTCATAGCAAATACACATCTGGGGTTGGGGTCGATTCCATGTCGATTCAGAAAGTAAACCAAATTACAATTCCAATTCTACATTTTCATCATTGAACAGCATTGAAGAGAACTGGAATTGGAATTTCAGTGTATTTCCTGAATTGACTGGAATTGAAATGGAATTGACCCCAACCCTGATCTGGGAGCTAGGAGTGGTTTGGTCCAAGCAGTTGGGGAGTTATTCTTTGACCTGAATAAGATGACAGAGAACAGAATAAAAGCAGGATTTGAGCCCACAGAACATGTAACACATACTGTATACTGTATATGGGATCCACGATGAGTTATAGCTGCATGAGTACTGCTGTAGGATTTATGTTTGTAATCTGATCTCCAGCTACACAACCTGATTGTGCATCGTACATCTATTTGCTGAATTCTACACAGACTGAAAAGCTATTTGTTTAAATGAATGATTAGGTAACATATAGGCCAAGAATCCTTGGTGCAATGTATGGAAATCTAATACATATTTAAGTCCTCGCTTTATGGGGGTCGGTGGTCTAGAGTGATGCTGCTTTTTTCCCCCACTTCTCAAATTAGAAGTTTTATTTTATTTTAATTAAACTCAGCTTATGTTTTCCACTTCATAAAAAGCAGACGAGAGAAAACCCATACAACTTGGTGGAAAAGACTTGGGCTTCCAAAGGGTTGGGGCGTTAACGCTTACTGCTCTGGCTGGAATGTATGTAATCCTGGGTTTGGATGTCTGCATAAAGCGGTGTGGCCTCCAGAACCACGCAGTAGACCAAGGCCCAGGCATGTGAACCCTGGGAGATTAGTACTCTACTTTCTAGGGGCCGACGGGGGACGGTAGAGGATGGAGGGATGGAGTGGAGGAGAGTGGAGTGGGACAAGGGGGAAAAGAAGGAGGAGGAGGGAATTTAGTAAATATGGGGTGGATCAGAGGCTTGAGCTGTGTGTGTGTGTGTGTGCTTGCAGCTTGTGTGTGTGTGTGTGTGTGCTTGCAGCTTGTGTGTGTGTGTGTGTGTGTGTGTGTGTGTGTGTGTGTGTGTGTGTGTGTGTGCTGCAGTCAGCGGCCCTGCGGGGGGCTGTAACTCATAGCCTTGTTTATGGAGTCAGAGGGTTAAGGGTCTAGAGGGGTGGAGCCTGTCTCTAGTGGGGACTAGGCCTCGCTCTGGGGGCCTCTACTACACTATTCACTGGCTTGAGTTATGGCACGGTTACACACACACACACACACACACACACACACACAGAGGAATGGACGCTTCACATGCACAGTACAGAGTAACACACACACTTTAGAGTCCAAACAACAGATAAGTCATGCCTTGTTAAACGTCCATGCAAAACAACATTAAAATGCAAAGCAAACGTCAGTACAACGTAAGTAGGAAATGCATATTAATACACAAACATGCAACAAACAATGCTCACAGTATTCTTGCTATGTGGCACAAGAGAATTCCACTCTCAAAGAATTTAAGCTCATGACCAACAGGTCCAGAATTCGTTACTATGTCCACAACACATCATGCAGTTTTGGTACCGGTAAATACCAGGCTTAGGTGAAGTGCACACTCATCCCAATGGATGATAGACGGATGGAAGAGTGATATTAGATGTGGGGAGAGATGGAGAGATAGAGGGATAGGGGGGTGGACGGACAGACAGACTGACAGACAGACAGACAGGAAAGGACTACTATACCTGGAGATCCTGCTAGGGACTCAGCCCTACTGACAACGAAGGTACGAGACAGGGAGAGAGGGACTGGCGAGGAGAGATGGAGGACAGAGAGGGGAGACACACACGGAAAAATCCATCACCAAAGCCCACAAATGAAATAATTGTATAAAGTTACCGTCATACACCGTGTCCTGAAAAACAACCAATGTGCCATCCAAGCACATTGAAAGAGGGTCTGTGATAAAATATGACAAAATACATCATCTTATAAGCATATACTCTATGTTCCATAAACCAAACTACAGTGACAATGTTTTGATGAGGATGGTGTAATTCTGCCCTCTCACCAGCAGGTGTCTCTGAGATCCTACTAGCGCCTAACTGGAAGTTTGTGAATGAACTGCGAAAATACAGAGGCTTCATCTCACTTGGTTACTGATATGCTGTTTTTCTTTACCATTTCTAAACCAGTCATCCTAGACCTAGCCCATGTCTCATTAGCTGCTAATCGATGATGGGTAGTAGGGCTTTGGGAAATTCTGAAAAATACATGATAGGTCCCTATAGACTACAATGTACTATTTTTCTAAAGTAGTTGTATATAGGAACGTAGGGTTCTGGACAAAAATGTTGTGTACTGCAGTGAATATTTATAGGATGTCATTTTAGACACAGCCATTGAGACGTAGGCATACAAGGAAGTCTTACCTGGAGAGGCGGTGAGAGCCATCATCCCATAGGAGGAGAACGCTCCTGCTTCAAACTTCATCCCTTCCTTCCCCGCCTCCACCTCCACCTTCCCCTGCAGAGGAACACAACATACTTCCATAAGAGACTGAAGACGACTCAGATCAGTTGAGAAGTAGTGCAGGGTATTAGAGGTTGATCATCAGCTAAATTCACTTGTGTTTTTGTTTTAGCAGCATTATAGTTGAGGCATTGATTGAACCGCATAACAACATTTCAGAATTCACACCTTGAACAATATTCAGACAAATCTCTCCTTCTCAGTAGGGTTACGATCTACTTCACGTTCTTTTAAAGGCCCAGTGCATTCTGTTTTTCCTGTGTTTTGTTTCATATTGTACAACAGCTGATCAAACTAACTAAATGTGATCAGTGTTATTTCCTGATAGTTGCTGCTTGAAAATACAATCTCATCAGCAGGTTTTGCATGGGTGGAGTTTCGGTGTGCCTAGTGACATCACCAGGTGGTGAATAAGTTAATAGACCAATAACAAAGAGAGTTCAAACCTCTCTACCAATAACAGCAAGTTTTTTGTTTTCAGGTGCCCTCCCCCTACCCACTTAGACCACTCCTAGACCGTCCTAAAAACATTCTTGCTTGAGAAATATATTTTTGCTAAAAAGCTATTTTTGTTAATTTTTGACACTTTTAATGGAAAACTATAACAGCATGGTACTTAATTGTTACCCAGAAATGATTTGATATTGATATTAAAAAACATCTGCATTGGGGCTTTTAAGTCCACAAAGTAAATGTCCTGTTTGCATGCTGCAACATTTCAGCCAATCCGTCTGTAACACTTTCTCTGAAAGATTAAAGACCCAATGCAGACGTTTTTATCTCAATATCAAATCATTCCTTGGTAACAATTAAGTATCTTCCTGTGATTGTTTTCAATTAAAATGGTCAAAGGGAAACAAAAATAGCTTCTTAGCAAAGAGCAATTTCTCAAGAGGTTTGCTACAACTGTCTGGGAGTGGTCTGAGTGGGGAGGGGAAACCTGAAAGCTGTTATTGGCAGAGAGGTTTGGATCTCTCTTTCTTATTGGTCTATTAACTAATTTAACGCCTGATGATGTCCCCAGGCAGGCCAAAACTCCATCCCACCAAAAACAGGCTGAAATTTCAGGCGGCCTTTTCAAACAGCTCTTACACTAAAAGGGCATTATCATAATTTAAACATGTTCACAGTATTATTCCAACATCATAGTGCGGAAATATATATAAAATACAGGAAAATCAAGTTTTTGACTGCACTGGGCCTTTAAAACAGGCGCTTGCAGCATCACTTCCGACTTGCATCACCCTCATGTTGCCACCCTGACTTGAGGGAAAATCTCACTCTTGTTTACTATTCATGGCAAAATCCCCTGCTTTGTTTAATAGCTGACAATCCCCTTCTTGGCCTACACTCGTATAAAAAGGGTTCCAGAAGGTTCTTTAGCTGTCCCCATATGAGAACCCTTTTTGGCTCCAGGTAGAACCCTCTGTGGAAAGGGTTTTACACTGAACCCAAAAAAGGTTCTACCTGGAATCAAAAAGGGTTCTTCAAAGTGTCCTCCTAAAGGGACAGCCGAAGAACCGTTTAGATTCTAGATCGCACCTTTTTTTCTAAAGCCTCATTTATAACTGGCTCTAACATGCGTCAGTTGTCCTGATCTTTTCCACATTCTGATTGTGCCCACATTCGTCGACAGTAGTAGACAATCAAAAGACACATTGTGAACTCCGGAGGTAGTCGAAGATTCATCTTGTACGGATATCCTTGAAGTGTAAACGAATCCTGACCACGAAAGCTTATAAATTTGGCTAACGTCCCAGTTGTCCCACACTCTAAAAATAAATTGCACCAGCCAGTTGAGGTAGTAATTATGGACAACGATACCGCAACAATTCCTCCCGAATTAAAATCATGGTCTTCAAGATCATGGGCTCCCGAGTGGCGCAGTGGTCTAAGGCTCTGTTGTAGCCGGCCGCGACCGGGAGACCCATGGGGTGGCGCACAATTGGCCCAGCGTCGTCCAGGGTAGGGGAGGGAATGGCCGGCAGGGATGTAGCTCAGTTGGTAGAGCATGGCGTTTGCAACGCCAGGGTTGTGGGTTCGTTTCCCACGGGGGGCCAGTATGAAAAAAATAATGTATGTAGTCACTAACTGTAAGTCGCTCTGGATAAGAGCGTCTGCTAAATGACTAAAATGTAAATGTAAGGCACTGCATCTCAGTGCTTGAGGCGTCACTACAGACCCCTGGTTTGATTCCAGGCTGTATCACAACCGGCCGTGATTGGGAGTCCCATAGGGCGGCGCACAATTGGCCCCGCGTCGTCCGGGTTTGGCCGGTGTAGGCCGTCATTGTAAATAAGAATTTGTTCTTAACCGACTTGCCTAGTTAAATAAAGAAAAAATAAAAGAAAATATTTGAAGTCCAATCGAAATTAGATAACGCATATAGAAATAAAGATATTTATGAACAGATATTGTCCCGAATGAGAGAAAAAGGGTTCTCCCGTTCCCATGTCCAATGCCAGCGAAAAATCGAAATCATTAAAAAAAAAAGAATCCTACAAAAAGGCCAATGCCTTTTTATACAGAGCTGCACCCCCATTACTTTTGTAGTTCAGTTTAAATTCTGTAATTCTGTATCAGTCTATCAACTCTTGATAAGTGAAAGAGACTCCGTTAGTGAATTATCACTGTTCAATGATTAGAATCTGACCCCTGGTGTATAATACAATCCTGTGTATTATATTATGTCAATCTTCAAGCATTTTCAAGACAAATCTCTATAGCAATAAAGTATGCAATCCTGTGTATTATATTCTGTCAATCTTTGAGCATTTTCAAGACAAATCTCTATAGCAAAAAAGTGCAGAAGAGGTAGAAACTGATGCGTAAAGACACATAGCTTTCTGTAAGCATGAGCGAGGCCACTGTCCAATATAATGTAGGCTATAATACGAATGACTCTTTAGGCTACTTTTAGAACTTAACTTTATTCCTCCATAGTATTTGCGTTAGATCTGTGGATTAATTTGCATATAGGGAGGGACCAGGGAATCTGGTCACAATACAAACGTAGTGGGCAGATAACAGACATGTTTTATTACCATGTGTGGATGCAACAAATCTCCATCTTGATCGGATGCTGACAACCACATGTTAATGCAAGGTGTAACCACGGCTGAAGAGTGTAGTGGCCCTGGCATGGCTCCTTTCTGACCTGGCCCAATAGCATGGCCCCTTTCTGACCTGGCCCGATAGCGTGGCCCCTTTCTGACCTGGCCCGATAGCGTGGCCCCGTTCTACATTTGTCATTGTTGTCATTTTACAACTACATACAGCATCGCAATCATTGCAAGTAAAATAGTTGCTATCTGCAAAATCAGTGCTTGTGAGTGCAAGAAAGGCAAGTACAACAGTTAAGTGACTGTAGTGTTTTATCTTCCTGGTTCTGGCCCAATAGCGCAGCCCTGTGCTAACCACTGGCCCAATAGCGTGGCTTGGTACTGACCTGCAGGATGAGTATGAAGTAGTCCACAGGCTTGTTCCTGTGGAAGAGGTAGTGCTCCGGTGCTCTCTTGTTCTTCTCGTCGTACTTCAGCTCCTGGATCACGTTGGGGTGTTTGAGGAGACGCAGCAGGATCTTCTCTGACATCTGCACCGGCCCGAACGACTCCACCTCTGGAGAGGGGGACGGATGAAGAGAAAGTGAGAGAGAGAGAGAGAGAGAGAGAGAGAGAGAGAGAGAGAGAGAGAGAGAGAGATGGAGAGAGACATAATTTAAGAACAAATTGACCAATACAGTTTGATGCAACATTGTACAAGACAATATGATGCAGTGGTAAGACACAAGATGTTGTGATGTAAAACCGTACAATACCATATCAACAATACAATTCCATTTAAAAACACACTCCCTCTCTTGCATTTACCATATCACCTCATTACCACCTTATCTATGGTAACTTGACTATAATCACGTGTATTCCAAACAGGCTCAATTGGATTCTTCCCATCCTCTATCATGATTCTCACTGGTCAAGGTAAAAAAGGTTAACCAATCATGCCCCTGACACCAGAGTGTGGTGATATGTCTCAGTTGGCAGCTTGCTCCACCACGCTATGGTAGGGACTGGCCCTGCTAATAGCCAAAGTTCCTTTAGAGGGGCCAGAGGGGCCACAGCCTTAAGCGATGTTTAGCAGCTTACTAGGTCAAAGTTCTCACCAAATCCCCTACAACTGCAACATATTTTAATAATCTGTGCTCTACTACTGGTAGCTAGCTGGGACATTCCATGGTGGTTCCGGTTGTACGTTCCATGGGATTTTTCTAATAGTATTTAAAATCTTTTAAACACTTGGCGCCATAGCCATAAATTGATCTAGATCTAATGTTCTGCTTTGAGCTTTAGCCTGTTTGCTTTAGCCTGCCTGAAGTGCCAGATGGGTGGGGTTTGCACTTTGGGGACTATTCCATTGGATCCATTGCCCCAGACAAGCTCAATCAAGCACATCTCAATCAAGAATTTCAAAGATATGTGAATGCAGGTCTGGCATGCAAACATGTAGACATGCTTTCTGTGAGAACCCCAAGCAATCAGCCAAACTGTTGAAAGTGATGTCATTGTAAAAGTAGTGTAAACAAATAATGATATGCGTTCCAAGCTAATGCTACAGTCTCCCAACCCCTGAGAACATGACATGCAAGCAAATAGTCGGCCATGTTTTCAGACTGAGCCATATAAAGTCTGTGCAGACATCCCGTGTCGCGCTCCCCAGAGACCTAGCGCCTCCTCTTCCACGTGTACCCACACACACATTCTCGTCTCAAACACACACACAAACACACACTCTCGCCACATACACACACACACATTCACTTGTCACAAACACACACTCTTGCCACACACTCTCTCCCCCTCCACACACACACGTTCCACAGTCAGGGTTCTGAGGGCACACTGGGGGAAGTCAAGCAGCAACGCAGTGTGCACACTTGCCTGTTGCTAGGTAACGCAGGGTTGCCAGCAGAAGCTGAGGTGATATTTTAACCTTCATTTCACTGTCGTTGGGCTTGAAGGCTGAGAAATCCTGCTTCCGCTCACGATGGGTGATTTTCTTCTTCGTTTTGTTGTCAGCTGAGTGGAGAAAGAATTGGGGAATGGGATGATAGGGGAGGAATTGTTTTTAGGAAAAGGGTGAAATTGTAAGCTGACTTTGATAGTGCATTTCCTAGGTACAAGGCTGAATACACTTTAGTTATTCAAAGGAATCTCTTTTCAAGCAAATATATTCTTTCCCTATGGAAAATGTAAGTACAATTGAAAATAAAACATTTGGAAAACATAGTTGCCGTTGAAACATTACTGGACATAAAATAAAAATAATTTATTTTACAAATGCCTGGAAGCTAAACCTTTGCGGTAGAACCTTACATTAAAGTGGTACTAGTCGGGTAACAGGTTATAGTTACTCAAAATGAAAACATTGATACCACTTCATTTCAGTAAAATGTGCGTAAAGTAAATCGTTTGGGCACCTACTGTACAAGTCTGTCTCGTCCAGGATCTCTGACTTGATGATTTCCTCGATTATGTCCTCCAGGGTGACGATGCCCAGGACCTCGTAGAAGGGGTCCCCCTCACCCTCGTTGTTCACCCTCTGAACTATGGCCAGGTGGGATTTTCCTTAACACGCACATACAGAAGGAGAGAGAGACAGAGATAGAGAGATAGATAGAGACAGAGATAAAACACATTTAAGAGGTTGTAAAGTTGGGGTCATAGTGACAAAGTGCAGCAAGAGCCAACGCTATAAATGTCAACTTATGAACACTGTGGTCCTTTAAAACACTCAGTGGTTAGAGGTCAAGAACTCTCTGTTCATGTAATATATCACTAATTATAAACTGGGTTGTTCGAGCCCTGAATGCTGACTGGCTGAAAAATAATTCTGACTGTTCTAATTACGTTGGTAACCAGTTTATAATAGCAATAAGGCACCTCAGGGGTTTGTAGTATATGGCGAATATTCAACGGCTAAGTGCTGTAGCCAGGTACTCTGTGTATTTATACCACACCTGCTATGGCCTTATTGCTTAATTATACATTGCAAAATATAATGAAGCATACATCATATATCAATACTGTATTTCACATTTGGGATATTTCATCAGGGCATTTGGAAAGTATTCAGACCTCTTCCCTTTTTCCACATTTTGCTACGTTACAGCCGTATTCTAAAATGTATTAAATTATTTTTTTCCCTCATCAATCTACACACAATACCCCATAATGACAAAGTGAAAACAGGGTTTTAGAAATGTTTGAAAATATATAAAAAATAAAAAACGGAAATACCTTATTTATATAAGTGTTCAGAACCTTTGCTCTGAGACTTGATATTGAGCTCAGGTGCATCCTGTTTCCATTGATCATCCTTGAGATGTTTCTACAACTTGATTGGAGTCCACCTGTGGTAAATTCAATTGATTGGACATGATTTGGAAAGGCATACATACACCTGTCTATATAAGGGTCCACAGTTGACAGTGCATGTCAGAGGAAAAACCAAGCCATGAGTTCGAAGGAATTGTCCGTAGAGCTCCGAGACAGGATTGTGTCGAGGCACAGATCTGTGGAAGAGTACCAAAAAATGTCTGCAGCATTGAAGGTCCCCAAGAACACAGTGGCCTCCATCATTCGTAAATGGAAAACGTTTGAACCACCAAGACTCTTCCTAAAGCTGGCCGCCCGGCCAAACTGAGCAATCGGGTGAGAAGGGCCTTGGTCAGGGAGGTGATCGAGAACCCAATGGTCACTCTGACAGCGCTCCAGAGTTCCTCTGTGGAGATGGAGAACCTTCCAGAAGGACAACCATCTCTGCAGCACTCCACCAATCAGGCCTTTATGGTAGAGTGGCCAGACGGAAGCCACTCCTCAGTAAAAGGCACATGACAGCCCGCTTGGAGTTTGCCAAAAGGCACCTAAAGGACTCTCAGACCATGTGAAACAAGATTCTCTGGTCTGATGAAACCAAGATTGAACTCTTTGGCCTGAATGCCAAGCATCATGTCTGGAGGAAACCTGGCACCATCCCAACGGTGATGCATGGTGGTGGTAGCATCATGCTGTGGGGATGTTTTCAGCGGCAGGGACTGGGAGACTAGTCAGGATTGAGGGAAAAAAGAAAGGAGCAAAGTACAGAGAGATCCTTGATGAAAACCTGCTCCAGAGCGCTCATGATCTCAGACTGGGGCGAAGGTTCACCTTCCAACAGGACAACGACCCTAAGCACACAGCCAAGACAATGCAGGAGTGGCTTCAGGACAAGTCTCTGAATGTCCTTGAGTGGCCCAGCCAGAGCCCGGACTTGAACCCAACCGAATATCTCTGGAGAGTCCTGAAAATAGCTGTGCAGCAACCTGACAGAGCTTGAGAGGATCTGCAGAGAAGAATGGAAGAAACTCCCCAAATGCCACACTTGTAGCTTCATACCCAAGATGACTCGAGGCTGTAATCGCTGCCAAAGGTGCTTCAACAAAGTACTGAGTAAAGGGTCTGAATACTTATGTAAATGTGATATTTCAGTTTTTTATTTTTAATACATTTCCAAATATTTATAAAAACCAGTTTTTGCTTTGTCATTATGGGGTATTGTGTGTAGATGGATGAGGAAAAACAACAATTTAATCAATTTTAGAATAAGGCTGTAATGTAACAAAATGTGGAAAAAGTCAAGGGGTCTGAATTCTTGTAGAAAGTAACAGTGAGTAACATAGTAACACTAGTAATACAGTAGTAACAGTAAGATAGTAACACACTAGTAATACAGTGGTAACAGTAATATAGTAACACTAGTAATACAGTAGTAACAGTAATATATTAACACTAGTAATACAGTAGTAACAGTAATATAGTAACACTAGTAATACAGTAGTAACAGTAATATAGTAACACTAGTAATACAGTAGTACACAAGCTAATAGTAACACTAGTAGATACAGTTAGTAACAGGAATATAGTAACAACTAAAGTAATTACAGTTCGAGTAACAGTAATATAGTAACACTAGTAATACAGTAGTAACAGTAATACAGTAACACTAGTAATACAGTAGTAACAGTAATACAGTAACACTAGTAATACAGTAGTAACAGTAATATAGTAACACTAGTAATACAGTAGTAACAGTAATATAGTAACACTAGTAATACAGTAGTAACAGTAATATAGTAAACATAGTAATAACAGTAAAGTAGTACAGTAATATAGTAACACTAGTAATACAGTAGTAACAGTATATAGTAACACTATAAACAGTAGTAACAGTAATATAGTAACACTAGTAATACAGTAGTAACAGTAATATAGTAACACATAGTAATACAGTAGTAACAGTAATATAGTAACACTAGTAATACAAGTAGTAACAGTAAGTAATATGTAACACATATACAGTAATACAGTAGTAACAGTAATATAGTAACACTAGTAATACAGTAGTAACAGTAATATAGTAACACTAGTAATACAGTAGTAACAGTAATATAGTAACACTAGTAATACAGTAGTAACAGTAATATAGTAACACTAGTAATACAGTAGTAACAGTAATATAGTAACACTAGTAATACAGTAGTAACAGTAATATAGTAACACTAGTAATACAGTAGTAACAGTAATATAGTAACACTAGTAATACAGTAGTAACAGTAATATAGTAACACTAGTAATACAGTAGTAACAGTAAAAGTAACAGTAAACAGGGTAACAGTAATACAGTAACACTAGTTAATACAGTAAGTAACAGTAATACAGTAACACTAGTAATACAGTAGTAACAGTAATACAGTAGTAACAGTAATATAGTAACACTAGTAATACAGTAGTAACAGTAATATAGTAACACTAGTAATACAGTAGTAACAGTAATACAGTAGTAACAGTAATATAGTAACACTAGTAATACAGTAGTAACAGTAATATAGTAACACTAGTAATACAGTAGTAACAGTAATACAGTAGTAACAGTAATATAGTAACACTAGTAATACAGTAGTAACAGTAATACAGTAACACTAGTAATACAGTAGTAACAGTAATACAGTAGTAACAGTAATATAGTAACAGTAATACAGTAGTAACAGTAGCCTACTTTGATGCTATACCATGACATGATGTCAAGCTGTTGGCCTATAACGTGACTGTATTGATCTGTATCAATCAGTTTAAAATAAGACAAACAGTGTTCTACTGTCTGGCACACAGCAATGACAATCATTCCATTAGTCATCTGAAACCTGAACCCACATCTGCTTTCCCAGGACCCGCTACTACAATGCCACTGTCTGCAAAAACCCCTCCATGCAAAATACTGTCAACCAAATCGCTGAACAAATTCTTTGCCTTTTCTCAGCAAGTGATCATTTAAAAGGAATTTTCCAGAGGAGGCCTGGCCCGGGCTAATATTAGCCCAGAAAATGAAGTTTCCATTCCCGCCCTCCCGGGCGATATTCTCACCGACCGAAGCCACTACTGTGTGATCAGATTGTCTTGGAGCTTGTGGGGTCGTTTAGATGCAGATAGGGCATAGTTTAAATACTAGGAAGTCAGTCTCTCTCTCTCTCTCTCTCTCTCTCTCTCTCTCTCTCTCTCTCTCTCTCTCTCCTCTCTCTCTCTCTCTCTCTCTCTCTCTCTCGCTCTCTCTCGCTCTCTCTCGCTCTCTCTCTCTCTCTCCAGTGATATCTTTAGTGACTTACTTCAGTATCACTGTATCTTTTCAGAAAAAAAGGAAATGCAAATGGTGCCTCAATGGGGTAAATGGATCAAGTCAAGTACTTGAGCAACAAGCACTCTAAACTGTGGTACTCTGAGCACCTGAGGTAGTTGAAAAACAGAAGAACAGATCAATGTTGCTAAGAGGTGAAAACACTCCAAATACACAGGTGTTGCAGGTTCGAGTAGAAACCAGCCCTGGAATTTTATTTATTTTTACCTTTATTTAATTAGGCAAGTCAGTTCTTATTTACAATGACGGCATACACCGGCCAAACCCGGACGACGCTGGGCCAATTGTGCGCCGCCCCTGGAATCAAACCAGGGAGTCTGTAGTGACGCCTCAAGCACTGAGATGCAGTGCCTTAGACCGCTGCGCCACTCGGGAGGCCCATGAATGTGTGTTAACATAGCCCTTTCCTGCAGTCAAATGACCCACTAGCCTCATGGGTGGAATGTTATTCATATTTTTCAAAACATTTACTCCGAAAATCTGGTGTTTCTATGTCAGACAGTTTTTTTATATACTGAACACAAATATAAACGCAACATGTAAAGTGAAATAAAAGATCCCAGAAATGCTGATTAAACACATTATCATTACACAGGTGCACCTTGTGCTGGGGAAAAATATAAGGCCACTCTAAAATGTGCGGTTTTGTCACACAACGCCATGCCACAGATTCCTCAAGTTTTGAGGGAGCGTGCAATTGGCATGCTGACTGCAGGAATGTCCACCAAAGCTATTACCAGATAATTTAATGTTAATTTCTCTACCATATGCCGCCTCCAATGTCGTTTTAGAGAATTTGGCATTACGTCCAACCAGCCTCATAACCACCTGTAACCACACCAGCCCAGGACCTCCACATCTGGCTTCTTCACCTGCGGGATCGTCTGATACCAGCAACCCAGACAGCTGAACGAAACTAAGGAGTATTTCTGTCTGTAATAAAGCACTTTTGTGGGGAAAAACTAATTCTGATTGGCTGGGCCTGGCTCCCCAGTAGGTGGGCCTATGCTGCGCCTACTGCCCGTCATGTGAAATCCATAGATTAGGGCCAAATGAATTTATTTCAATTGATTGATTTCCTTATATGAACTGTAACTCAGTAAAATCGTTGAATGTTGCGTTTATGTTTTTGTTCAGTATATTTCAGTCTTCTGTGATATATATAGTGCAATATTGGGATGCAAACTCAAATTTGAATACATTTCAATTCTATAACTGACAAGGTACAGGTGTCTTATTTCTTTTAAGCCCATAACAATGTGTGTGAGGTGTATACTTTTGTTTCAAAGTAGATTTGTTTAAGACCAAGAAACCCTCTGTGAACCTCATTTAGCCCACTACAGTATTAACCGTGCCTTCCCAACACAACACACCAATATAACCCCTGTAAACCAGACGGATCTAGTAAGGCAAGGTTTAAGCTGACAACAGCACTCATGTAAGCCACACACACAGTACAGAGAGGGACAGAGACAGAGACAGAGAGAGAGAGAGAGATGCATGCACACACACATATACACCACAGGAAGTTGGTAGCACCTTAATTGGGGAGAACAGGCTTGTGGTAATGACTGGAGCGGAATCAGTTGAATGGTATCAAATCCTGTACATCAAACACATGGTTTCCAGGTGTTTGATGCCGTTCCATTCTGCTCCGTTCCAGACATGATTATGAGCCGTCCTCCCCTCAGCAGCCTCCTGTGGTATACACATACTGTATACTCCCCTCCACATGTATTTGGACAGTGAAGCTTCAATTTGAAATTGTATATCTATACACTTGCATTTTTGGATTTTAGATAAAATATTTCATATGAGGCGACGTCACCTTTTATTTGAGGGTATGTTCATACCCCTTGACTTATTCCACATTTTGATGTGTTACAGCCTGAATTCAAAATGGATTAAATAGCTTGTTTTTCTCACCCATCTACACACAATACCCAATAATGGCAAAGTGAAAACATGTTATTAGAAATCTTTGCATTTTATTGAAAATGAAATACAGAAATATCTCATTGACATAAGTATTTACACCCCTGAGTCAATACATGTTAGAATCACCTTTGGCAGCATTACACCTGGATTATGCAACATTCGCCCATTATTCTTTTCAAAATTCTTCAAGCTCTGTCAAATAGTTTCTTGATCATTGCTAGACAACCATTTTTAAGTCTTGCCATAGATTTTCAAGCAGATTTAAGTCAAAACTGTAACTCGGCCACTCAGGAACATTCACTGTCTTCTTGGTGAGCAACTCCAGTGTAGATTTGGCCTTGTGTTTTAGGTTATTATCCTGCTGAAAGGTGAATTAATCTTCCAGTGTCTGATGTAGAGTAGACTGAACCAGGTTTTCCTTTAGGATTTTGCCTGTGCTTAGCTCCATTCAGTTGATTTTTTATCCTGAAAAACTCCCCAGTCCTTAACGATTACAAGCATACCCACCCATAACATGATGCAGCCACCACTATGCTTGTAAACATTGAGAGTGGTACTCAGTAATGTGTTGTATTGGATTTGCCCCAAACATATCACTTTGTATTCAGGACAAAAAGTTAAATGTTTGCCACATTTTTTTTTATTACTTTAGTGCCTTGATGCAAACAGGATGCATGTTTTGGAATATTTTATTCTTTACAGGCTTCCTTCTTTTCACTCTGTCAATTAGGTTAGCATTGTGGAGTAACTACAATGTTGTTGATCCAACCTCCGTTTTCTCGTATCACAGCCATTAAACTCTGTAACTGTTTTAAAGTCACCATTGGCCTCATGGTGAAATCCCTGAGCGGTTTCCTTCCTCTCCAGAGTTAGGAAGGACGCCTGTATATTTGTAGTGATTGGGTGTATTGATACACCACCCAAAGTGTAATTAATAACTTCACCATGCTCAAAGGGATATTCAATGTCTGTTTTGTTTTTTAAACCGATCTACCAATAGGTGCCCTTCTTTGCCAGGCATTGGAAAACCTCCCTGGTCTTTGTGGTTGCATCTGTGTTTGAAATTCACTGCTCAACTGAGGGACCTTACAGATAATTGTATGTGTGGGTACAGAGATTAGGTAGTCATTCAAAAATCATGTTAAACACTATTATTGCACACAGAGCGAGTCCATGCAACTTATTATGTGACTTGTTAAGCAAATTTTTACTCCTGAATTTATTTTGGCTTACCATGAATACTTATTGACTCAAGACAGTTCAGCTTTTCATTTTTAATTAATTTGTAAAAACGTTAAACAAAACATAATTCCACTTTGACATTATAGGGTATTGTGTGTAGGCCAATGAAAAAAAATCTCAATTGAATCCATTTTAAATTCAGGATGTAACACAAAATGTGGAAAAAGTCAAGGGGTACCGTTTAGAAATGAAAGCACTTTATGTATCCAATCCCCCCATTTGAAGAACAAATTCACTTCTAGTGCATTCCCTCTACATTTACATTTACATCATTTAGCAGAAGCTATAGCCCATAAAAAATGCATTGAATAACACATTCATAAAATGTCAAAAAATTTATCATAAGGAATATGGTTTTGAAGTGTCTGTCCTATATCTAGGAGATATAAGAAAGCTCAGGAAATATTTTTGTTTTTTGGACACATATTTAACCCCTTTTTCTGTTGGCACAAAACTACCTCCATACTTCCATTCATTTGTATGGGTTACCTTCAGACGACCCTTGTGGGGGTCGTAGAGTAAAACGAAGAACACCACCGTATTCGTGAGTCTCCCCTTTCAATAGTGGGGTCATATTAGTTTGTACCAGCTCCGTTTCCCCCACCGGTTGGTATAGGCCCGTGACTTATCTCCTGCTTCTTCTCAGAGGTCAATGGTGCATGAAGGTCACCACAGGGTTGAATCCTCAGGGTACATTTTACGGATCAATTCGTGTAGTTGAGGGTCATAACTCTTTCGTAACTCATTACCAGTCCTCCTCCACATCACAATTCAGTTGGTCAAACTGGTCTATAACTCACACCTGAAGTGTCCATGTATGAATTCATAAATAGACACTTCATGTGTGCTTTATAGACTTGTATGACCAACTTAATGTGGAGGACGACTGTTAATGAGTTAAGAAAGAGTTGATCCGTAAAATTTACCCTGAGGAATCAACCCTGTGGTGATCTTCATGCACCATTGACCTCTGAGAAGAAGCAGGAGGTAAGTCACGGTCCTATACCGGCCGGTGGGGGAAATGGGGCTGGTACAGGCTATATATTAGCTTCATTTCCCAAATGTGGTTTGGACCTTTGCCATATTCCCTAACACTGGTATGGCAGAAGCACACTTTTGAGAACAGCCATAATGATGACACTACGCTGTCATTGTAATAATGCATCTATTAAGATATCTAAATATGAGCTCTTGCATAGCATGACATGAATGCGCTATAGATATGCTATGGATATATTTCATTAACCTTTAACAATGCGGTTGGGATCTGTTATAACATGTTCATGAATGCTTATAGATGTGTAATAAAAGCCTTATGGATATGTAGTCAAAGTAAATTGTTACCAAATACTATATTCTTTGAGAACTAACAATCACCAGGATAAAAGCTAGACAGTCAGGAAGAATTGAAAATTCCCAAAACAAAGAATTTAGCAGTACAGCTTTTGGGGTGGCAGGTAGCCTAGCGGTTAAGAGCGTTGGGCCAGTAACCGAAAAGTCACTGGTTCGAATCCCCGAGCCGACTAGGTGAAAAATCTGTCGATGTGCCCTTGAGCAAGGCACTTGACCATAATTGCTCCTATAAGTCGCTCTGGATAAGAATGTCTGCTAAATGTCAAAAAATGTAAATGTTATTATGTTTAAGCAGAAGAACACAGCATAAGCCACGCCAAAATGCATAGAATTGCAGGAAATTTGCTTTAAAACGGCAAACATTTCTCTCAGCTCCATGGAGAAATGTGTAGAATTGCAGGAAATTGGCTTAAAAATGCAAACATTTCTCTCCACCGCCAAGATGGGGGGCCTGTAAAATTTTCTCTGAAATTCAGCCACGCCGATGGGGCGAACGCACCCCCTGCTACGCCCCATGCCACGCCCTCTGCCATTGCCACCACCTAAGCCTCTTTTTGATACAGAAAAAACCCTGCATGCTAACCTCTCACCATTACCAATAACAGGGGAGGTTAGCATTTTGGGGGGGATCATCTTTGTACCATCTCACTCATCATTATTCACAGTTCATGTTCAGAAACACCTTATTTTGCAGTTACAATTAAAGTTACTCCACAATGGCAAAATACATTATTCATCATTTAGTTCCTATTGGGCAAAATATAATCCAAAACACAACCAAAACAAACTGCACATGAATCCAACAATTTTGTAGAGTCACAAGCTTGATGTAGTCATTGAGTGCAAGGAATATGGGATCAAATACTAAACTTTTGACTACTTTAATACACTATATGTAAATTTGTCACAATACTTATGACTTCTTCAAATGGGGGGACTAGATACATAAAGTGCTTTCATTTCTTAACGGTAAAAAATATATGTATAAAAATACCCTAAAATAAAACATTTGACATTTGATCTCAAATCCAAAAATCTGGAGTATAGAGCCAAAGTAAAGAAATGTTGCTTCTCTGTCCAAATATATATGGAGGGGAGTGTATGTGACCATGCATGTATGTACACACACACAACTACAATACAGAGAGCTAAACACACACGCACACCTTCATATCCCTTTAAGTTCCTAAGTAGCAAGGGTTAAAAAGGTTGTTACAATATCAAAAGTCCTAACGAAATCAAAAGCCAACTTGTTTGCCCATCACACAGGGTCTCTTTCGGTCAGTCACCATTGAAAACATCCACCACCTCCTCTTTGTGAGGTACTGTATAGCCTAGTTATAGACTGATCCCAGATCTGGTTGTGCTGTCTTGTCAACTCCTATACAACACAAACAGATGTGGGACCAGGCTAGCTAAGATAGGGTCAAGCATTATAATGACCGACTCCATAAGTCCTATGGCTTAAACAAAGACCCTATAAGTTACAAGCCACCACCAGTAAATACAGATCAGAAATGACCAACCAACACAATAACTGAATGGGAAACTACTAGTCGATGAAAGACATTAGAGAAAAACATGTTTATGATGTTGTATGTGTTTATCCCAGGGTTAAGCTAGTCCAATGAGGTGTAAGGGTAGAAGGAGACATATTTCACCACTAGGATAAAGAGGAAATCCTATTTGATATTTCCCTAGAGGATGTCTCCACACCTTTCATGAAAATCATTTGAAGTGAAGAGGAAATTCAGCAAGAAGCTCTTTTATCAACTTCCACTGTCCTTCAAGAGTTCACTTTACTGTACGTGTATGGTTTATTACTTCAGTAAATGAGACAATAAATGCTAGTGTTGTTCCAATGTAACCAAAAACCTTACATGATAAAGCAGGTTATGACAGTGTATCCACCTCATTTTCGAACGTTGCTATGGGCACAGCCAAACAACGGAAGTGATGGATTCGACTTCGCTTTACCTCCCTACTGCAGCGCGGCGGTGGCAAACTTGACAGAGATAATTATTCTAGGTCAATTCATAGAGCATCAAAGTAAATTAAACAATATAACTGTATTTATAGATGTATTTAATTCAAGTTCACTAACGTTAGCTATACCTGCTAGTAGTTGTGTTGTTATAATTATGTTAGTTGTGTTGTGTCAGAGTTAAGGGCCATCCACCAAGCCTATAACTATAATGATAAACTATAGTCTACATAACTATAAAATGTTGGTGAGCATCCACAATAGAGGATAGTTTATCGTTCTACAGTCTTACGCCTGTCAATCAACTGATCAACGCATCCTACTGCATGCTGTAGGCCTATTAATAAGGTGGTCACACAATACCATTCAGTCTTTTCAGGGTGTGTTCACTGTCATAGTGACAACTGTAAATAAATAACACTTCAATGTACATGTAGGCCTACTGAAAAAGAATATAGTAACTCGTATTTAAATGTAGCAATTCAACAATAAACAACGTTTAGCCTGCGCATCTTTTACAGCATTACATTTAAGTCATTTAGCAGACGCTCTTATCCAGAGCGACTTACAGTTAGTGAATATTTTTTTTTTTTTATACTGGCCCCCCGTGGGAATCGAACCCACAACCCCGGCGTTGCAAACGCCATGCTCTATCAACTGAGCTACATCCCTGCCGGCCATTCCCTCCCCTACCCTGGACGACGCTGGGCCAATTGTGCGCCGCCCATGAGTCTCCCGGTCGCGGCCGGCTGCGACAGAGCCTGGATTCGAACCAGGATCTCTAGTGGCACAGTTAGCACTGCAATGCAGTGCCTTAGACCACTGCGCCACTCAGGAGACAGCATGTCATTGCATCGTTGCTCAAGTGGTTTGCAAGTGATTTCCATTTATCTAATGGTTGTCAGTTCCTTCTGTCTTATTTTTCACTGTGCTCATCTATGTCCTTTGTAACTATTTGCATTGCATCAGTGCAACAATGTTGTAATCATAACCGGATAAAAGTGATCACATCAACACAGTTTCTCTCCTCAACTTTCCCCGACAGTTAATTTGCCTATGCTGTAGACCTGTTTACATTCAGCAATTAGCAAGATCAAGCCTTCTTCTTTCCCCGAATAGGCTATTAAGTCTAGTATAAAAAATAATACAAATAAATGTCCTATAGCTTTTGTAGCCTATAGCTTTTCCTGGGATTCACGAGAAGAGGAATGGCCTATTGCGAAGAAGCTTGCGTAGCGTATAGCTCACAGGAACATTTTTGTTACTTAGCATACGCTCTTATCCAGAGCAACATACAGGAGCAGTTAGGGTTAAGTGCTTTGCGCAAGGACACATCGGCAGATATTTCACCTAGTCAGCTCAGAACCAGCGACCTTTCGGTTATTGGCCCAACACTCTTAACCGCTAGGCTACCTGTCGCTCAGCTGGCAGGGAGAGGCTAGTGATGTGTAGCCGAAGTAATTAAGCTAAATATTAGCTAGATATTAGGCCATTCATTAGCTAAATATTAGGGTTATAGGCTAAATATTTACCTGTCAAGGTGCAAGAAAAAAAGTTAACAGATGATGAAATGTCAGATCTGTGTTCCTCCAGGCTGAGCTCTGTGGTCCCCAGGACGCAAAGCTCACTATTGATTAGGCCTACATTTCTAGACAATACATTATTGTACCTGGGCTACAACAACACAGTGCAATGAGGAATGTATTATTGTTATCAAGTGAGTACACAATTTTTGTCTATAGGCTGTAAACTGCAGTGATGTAGGCTTATTTGAATAACTGCTCAAACATCCTGTTTTGTTTCATGCCAAAATAACTGCCTACAGCCTAGGCCTGATTATGCAACAATTTGGATCAGTTTGGGTCTATTCTCTACAGTTTAGAACAGGGGTGTCCAACTCGTTCCATGGAGATCAAGTGTCTGCTGGTTTTAGTTTTTTCCTTTCAATTAAGACCTAGAAAACCCAGACACTCGGCCCTCCGTGGAATGAGTTTGACACGTGGTTTAGAAGGTCCAGAAAGGTGAATTAGCAGGCCACTCATATGGTGTATTTTGTCAGGATGTAGCCCGGTGTTAAGATAGGCCTACTATAAAAAATATGGGCTTCTCCTTTCAAATTCCCCGCCCGTTCTTAATGCTGTAGTGTGTAGCCTATTTAACATTCAGCAAGCAAGAGCAAGCGTGCATCTCTCCTCCAATCGGCTGTTAGTTAAGAAAATATAAGCTTGGAGTCGCATGAGCATGTGTTGTAGCCTTTTGTAGCCAGAGTACATTTGTTATATCACCAACACCTGACTGCAGGCCTCGAGGTGTAGAGTGTCTTTTGTGAGGTTCGCAGGGATAACATTACAACTAGCACCAAAAGCTAGCTGAAATCTGACAGACTATTGTTGACCAGCATGGTTGCAAAGAGAGCTGCATTGGGGTCTGTGGCTTTCTCCTGTACCACGTTGATGCTCTCGGACTTTGGCCCTAGTGTGATGCAGAGAACATCCTCACCGCTCTCTGAGTCAGCTGAGGCATTTTCCATTCCAGGACGCTGTTTCTCTTGCTGGTTCCTGCACTTTTGCAAACAGTAGAGAAGTGATTGTTAAATGTTTGTCCATATGCAGGGCATTTTTCCTCCTTTTTTAAATGTTTCCGTCCACAGTATCAGTATTGTATAATGCTCTGTGAGCCTGTTCCTCTGTAGGGTCTCCTCTCCCTCTCTGTCTTTCTTTCTGCATTACTGCATGCAGCATTGCTACAGGAACCTGCACTTCTATGGCTTAGCTCTCTGTCTAGCAGGGTGGGGCTCAATTCAGAATTGACTCCCATTCAACTCATGAGTTAAAATTCTATTTGAATTGGCTAGACCCCACAGGATGTAGAATTTGAGTTTGAGTGACAGGAAGAATAATTTAATTCAGTGCAATTCAAAGAAATTCCACTCAGTCATAGAACATTAGAGCTTCATTGAATTTGACAGGTCACACTTCCAGATACCAAAGAATATATCACTTTTCTCTGGAAACAATGTTCATATACTCTTTTAACCTTAGTGCTTAGAATAGCCAATTATATTTCCACCAACCATTTCATTTGTTTGGCTTCTTCCTCCCTCTCTCTTTGCAAATTACAGACAAGTCTATGGCCCAAATGGCTCTTTCCAAAAATCGAAAGATGCTAACACCTGCGAAATTATGATTTATCTAAATAACCAGTGATGAAAAATCCAAGCGCCGGAACTACTACTGCTCATTACCTCACGCATCCCATTGTATGACAGATCTACGGTACCATTTGTGGTTACGTAGTCTGTCCAATTTTACTCAGCATGTTCTTAACCAGCTACATTAAGTAAGGACTAGATTCTATCAAATCCACGCTAGCAAACACCCACATAGCGGTTGTTTTGGCGGTGTCGGAGGTGGAACTGCGTTAGAGTTGTCAAATCCATAAGTGGCTCCTTGCATTAGTTTATAGCGGACACTGCCATTGGAGGCAACTAAACCACCCGATTTTATAATCCGACAAATCCCATGCAGCCGCATTAGAAGTTCATGCAGCCGCATTAGAAGTTCATGCAGCCGCATTAGAAGTTCATGCAGCCGCATTAGAAGTTCATGCAGCTGCGTTACAAGTTCAAACACTCAAATTCCTCCAGAAAGTAGTCTCCCATTGAGCTTTGTTGAGAGCACCAGCTAAATTCAGGCCAGCAATGTTGTTGAGAAATGTAGCAACACTTTTACAGTTGTCCATAGCTATATCTTTCCAAAAGTCTGCGGTAGCAAATATTATCTATATATACTGACCAGGGAAGCCCCGAATCTGTTATAGACAGAAACCTGTGATATGACAGACCAATCAGGACTCATCTCTCGGTGTGTCCAGCCCTCCATTATCTCAGCCAATCATGGCTACCCAGGAAGGATCCTGTCTTTCTTCCTATATAGCTCAGTGCTTTCTCCTTGGCTAAACTAGGCTCGTAATTTAAAATGTTAATTCATATTTACAGATCACATACAAGTTTATTATTAAGGCACATCAAAGTTCAAATGTTCAAGAAGACATAAAAAATTTAAAAATAAAGTCCCTACTGTGAAGTAGGAACTAGCGGCAAATGCCCAGCTTCCTGAATCCCATCCCAATTGGCAGCCGAGCATCGATCACCATGTTACCGGCATTCAAATAAAACCCTCAGTATTTATTCAAAATCTGTATCAAGCTCATCACCGTCCATCACTTAACTACCATGAAGTTCATCATAACTTATTTCATCTGCCTATAAACTCCTAATGCTTTTCCATGTCTTAGTGGTAATACAATTTAGCATATCATCACATGACTCCAAGTTTACTTTGACATGATGATTTATTACATCAATATTTCCACCGCAATTGTCGCATAATCAATTTTACAAACACAAAAGCATCCTACAATGTCGAACAAACAAATTGTCTGTCGACATTTATGAAAATTGTACTGACACTTCATGTTTCCATCACACCTACTGTGATGTTTATACGGCATGACTTTACTGGCATAAATACTGTGGATGGAAACGTGGTTACTGTCCCGCAATAGATGACTGCATAGTTTCCACTTAGCCAGAATTCCCACCAAAAAAACCAGTCCAGAACGACAGTCATCTAACAAGGCGACTAGCGTCTTCTATAAATACGCTGAAGACAAATACAAATACTATGTTTATTCATAGCTCCTCGGCTGCTATAATTACTGTGGTACACTCCGGTTTAGGGGCTAAGAGTTAGGGAGGTGGTGAGGAGGGAGGGTGACCTCTTGACCCTGTGGAGTCTAGAAATTGGCAGAAAGCCTTTGAAAGAGTGTGTATTTCTGGCAGACCTGGGTTCTAATACTATTTGAAATAAAATCAAGTACTTTAGCTGGGCTTGATTGAGTTTGCCAGTTGAAATGGAACTAATAGAACAGTCCCAAAATTGCAAGCCCCATCCAACTGGCACTCCAGGCAGGCTAAAACAAACACAAAGATTTCAAATAGTATTTCAACCCAGGTCTGATAAGTGGGGACTGGCTGTCCAGGCCCTCATAAGACACAGCAGTATGTATGTGTTTGAATGTGTGTGTGTGTGTGTGGATCTGGCTGGGGCTGTCTGGCTTGGACAGAGTGGGGACGGTCATACACACGGGACCACTTCTAGAGCCGGAGGAGGATGAAACTAAAAGCACAAAATAACTCCCGGGACACACACACATATTTAAAAGGAATGGCATGCATGCTCAAACACACACACACACACACACACACAAAGACACACACACAGACATTGCGTTGAACACACACACACACACACACACACACACACACACACACACACACACACACACACACAATGAGGAGGGAATGATCCATGCTGGCAAGAGCAGAAAGACAGACACAAACACACATCTACATATGCTGTACACATCTACACATGTTGTACACATCTACACATGCTGTAAACATCTACACATGCTGTACACATCTACACATCTACACATACTGTACACATCTACACATCTACACATACTGTACACATCTACACATACTGTACACATCTACACATACTGTACACATCTACACATGCTGTACACATCTACACATGCTGTACACATCTACACATACTGTACACATCTACATGTTGTACACATCTACACATGCTGTACACATCTACACATGTTGTACACATCTACACATGTTGTACACATCTACACATACTGTACACATCTACACATGCTGTACACATCTACACATGCTGTACACATCTACACATACTGTACACATCTACACATGCTGTACACATCTACACATGCTGTACACATCTACACATACTGTACACATCTACACATGCTGTACACATCTACACATGCTGTACACATCTACACATACTGTACACATCTACACATGAATGGAAAAGCAGGACAAACTATGTATTTTGCCTAACTGTAAACAATCTATTTTAGTCTAGTTGCTGGATGACAATTAAACATAACATCTATGTTTTAAATGAGAAGTAGGCATTGGTCTGAAAATTAAATTCACATGAGCACCACTATGCCTACTCCACCCATGCTCTACCAAGGGTTTCCAGCACCCAGCTTTGACCTACTACAGTAGCTATGTTGGTCTATTGTACTTCAAACTATGTGTAGGCAGGTTGCTTAGGATTCAAACCGTCTCAAACAGCCTAATTCAAACTCTGTGATGTAACAAAATTAGATCAAGACCTAGTATAGGACTCCTGAGAAGCAGCTGATTAGTAGAATCAGGTGTGTTGTAGTAGGGTTGGAACAAAATCCTGCAGGAGGATAGCTCTTCAGAGGGAGGGTTGGCCACCCCTGCAAACTGTCCAAACAATCACAGGTAACATGAACCATCAATATACTGAGTACTGACCGAACACAGTTCATGACCCACACTCTACAGTAGCCTCCAGGGTCTCCAAGAAGGCCGCCCATGACCAAGCCATGGAGCCACCACCACCACCACCACCACCACCCCAGCTAACACTGTCCTTCCTCCCAGGCTTGTGAGAACCTCTCCCTGGGCCTTCTGAGACTGACTGTGTGCTCTTTTCCACCATTCCCAGGTTTATTTATGGAATGTGCAGTTTGTCATATTTTTCCATAGCGTAATTTCTACCCTATAAATACATCCCGTGAAGCTGCAGGGCATGTCTATCTGTCCTGGACAATGGTCAGACCCCCATCTCTCTCTCTCTTTCTCTCTTTCTCTAACCCTCTCTCTCCATATCTCTCTCTCTCTCTCGTTCAATCCCTCCTTATCACATCTCTCTTTCTCTCCCTCCATTTCTACTGATCAGACCCCCATCTCTCTCTTTCCATATTTCTCTCTCTCTCTCCCCCTCCCTTGATCTCTTTCCATTTCCAAACATTTCAGCTTTGACAAATATAGTGTAATCTCTGTGGCGATGGGAACGTCTTTATTTTAAATCCAGCCTAGAAAAAAAGACAAGAGTTTCCATGCTAAGCCATCTTGAGTTTTGACCCATTTTTCCATTGACATGGATAGCTAAGAGGACAGTTGAGCTCCGGAGTAATAGCTATAAATGGACTATTTTTAGCATATTTTTTGTATCTCGCTAGGCAAATATTTAGGCTACAACTTTGTGTATCTCAAAATAGGATATTATAGGTCAGTAGTTTGAGGTACTTCGTGTTATCAGAAGCCTATTGGTTGTTGTGGGGTTCTCAGCGTATTTTGTGTGCGTTTCACCTTGAAGTTCCCACTGATAGGAGAAATGTAAATATTAGGATTGGCATATGAGGCATTTCTATATCGATGTCATGATAATGAATGTCAATGTTGGATGCAGTGCAGTCAAAAACATGATTTTCCTGTGTTTTATATATATTTCCACACTATGAGGTTGGAATAATACTGTGAAATCGTGAATATTATGATAATCTAGTGTAAGAGCTGGTCGAAAAGACCGCCTGAAACTTCAGCCTGTTTTAGGGGGATGGAGTTTTGACCTGCCTGGTGACATCATCAGGCGGTAAATTAGT